AAAAAAAAAAAACGGTAACCTGGTTGCCGAGTTCACGAAGTGAATTGGCTTGTTTTACAACGTCGTTGCCAAGCGACGAAAACCCAATCCCGATGGCAAACACCGGAAGATTCTCAGCGGGGGGGTGTTAAATGAAGCCTTTACGGTCGTGAGGGTCGAGTGACACCAACTGGAGGCACTTCGTCTCTTGGTTGTTTAACCTCTTGCACATTTCCACATCTAAAAACCAAGAACAGCGCACCTTGTGTAGATCGTCGCCATCCAGGCTTCCGGCATGAGCCCCTTTGGCAACGGGCTCTTCCAAATTGAACACCAACAAGGACTTGTTGTTACCGACCGCCGCAGTCCTCCCCCCGACCTCCACATGCTGGAACACGAGTACAATGTTGGCATCGGTCACAAGGGTTGACGGTGGAACATCTGCTACGCAGCGCCAGGGATACAATTGTACGTACAGCAGCGTCGATATTTCTAGTACAATAATTAATACACACCATGTGCACGAGCAGGCACAGCGATCTTTCTGCATCACGCCAGCCCATCAACGACACGACGTCTCGGCGAACACGTTGTACTATCTACATCAATAGCTCACCAGCTTGGTGAAGGTCTTATTGAGCGCAGAATACGAGCCCAGAGGGAAATCAAACGCAGCCTCCATTGGCCCTTTCGGTCCTTAGTTGTCCCCTCGGCGAACACACAGCTTGCACGTACAGCAGCAGTAGTCCTTCTCTCCCTTGTTGAATAAGCGATGTAGTAGTCAGTGCACACTATCGCAAAGAGGGTTGCCAAAGTCAAAGGTTATCCCTCGAAGGCATCCGTGGATGCAGCGTCCGAGACAAACAAGCACGAATAAAGCTACAGACAGCAGGCCAACACACGGTGGGTCAAGTGCGGCTGCCTTTACTTGGCACCGCCTCTCCCGGGACTGGTGGTACTAGCCAATGAAAAGACGCCAATCTCTCGCGCACTCATCAAACGACAAGGTATCTGCTGTTGTGCAGACGTCCAGACGAAGGCTGCGAACAAGATGGCAGGACAGGTGGGTGTCCGATACCACAACATCGAGATGGCAACGACATGATTTGTACTGATCATTTTCGAATCAGGCTACTGCAGGCACTGGCGAGATTTCAAACGTACTCCTGCTGTTGCTAGCGTACGATGTGCGCAGCTGCTTGCGTCGTGCACCCAACATCGCTTGAAGGCGCGCCCATTCGGCAATTAATGACGCTCGATGCCCTGTGGTTGTTCTATTGCTCCACAACGGGAAGGTGCCGATGTTTCCCTCTGTCGATGTTACAGTCGTGGGCCCGGTCTAGCGGTTCCCTGTTCAGCGGGATGCCCTGAATAGCGGTTATAAAATCTCGTGACACGGCTGCATCCCGCTTTAGCGGTTATACAACCGCTGAACCGGTGGTGCCCTCAAATCGGGTTATACATGTTTTCAGACACCAATAGCGGTTATCGGGTCAATTTTTGACCTAGTGCGCGCTTTGCTTGCACATACTCACAGCACAGCGACATCGGTCAGCCTGTTAGCTGGTCGATGCTCACATAAAAAGGACACAGCGACACACACACACGCAGCAGGCCATATCCACTGTAACGAATTGGATTCAGGAACGTCTCTCCCAAAAAGGGATTGAGCTCAGTCTCCCGAAATCCCAGGTGCTTTTCCCGGAAGGTCTTTGCATGTCCTCTTTGACAAACGACGAACAGCAACAATTGACGAAAATTGGTCTGTCAGTTGCTGAAGGTGGCATGCCAGTTGTCGGGATCCCAGTAGGGACAGAAGAGTTATAGAGGAATTTCGTTTCCAAAATCGCCCGTGGTGACCCGGCGGAATTGATACTCCGCCTAGCAACGCTTGACGACCCTCAAGCCAGCTATCAACTGCTGCGTTTATCTGGTGTGCCACGTTTGTTCCATCTGCTGAGGACGATTGCACCGTCTATCACCAACTCTGCCGCAAAAATACATGACAACATGATGATGTGGGCAATGAGTAAGATCGTCCTTGGCAAGATGGCCGACAGCATGAGAATACCAACGGTCAAAGAGGTACGCGCAGACCCGACGAAGAGCGAGGAGGTAGATTTCTTCAAAGGGACAGCTCGGGCGCAGGTGCACCTACCCATGCGAGAAGGAGGACTAGGAATCACGAGCAATGTTCTCATTCGAGAATCGGCTTTTGTGGCAGGGCAAGCGCTGGTGTTCTCCAAGTCAGTGCAAGCATCGACAGGATACATAGTTGAGCAATGTCTACCTCGGCTTGCCCAGCTACCGACAGGACTGGCTCTGATTGACTCGCTGAAGAAGCTAGAGGAAATCATCACCAAAGACAAGCTTGAAAAGACTGTTAGGCAGTCATGGGCTAAACTTGCCGCAAGTGATGAGTAAAACCCCGACCTCAAAGGAGTTTACCTGTTGAAAGCAGGGAAGGCGGGAAAACCCCGCGAAGATGGAAACCCTGACGTAGAACATCAACCACCGTCTACCT